GGCTAGGGAGACAGAGACAGGCATATCCCTAGTTCTTACTGGCCTGACAGGGAAGCCTACTTGGCAAATTTGGGCCAGTGAGAAACTCCTGCATCAAAAACAAAAAGAATGGTGGTCAGCACCTGAGAAATGCAATCTGAGGCTGCTCTCTGACTTCCACACACATGCACATGTGTGCACACACACCTATAAATACACAAACATACACACAACAAAGCACTAACACCAAAGGTAAAAGTTCAAACACCCACCAAAGTTCTCAATTGGAAAACCTATGAAGGACATGTCTACTAATTCAAATGTCTAAATGAATTAGAGAATGCTGAGAAGACCTAAATGTTGTGATTATACATTGTGTGGTAGATTATGACCCAACAAAGTGATTCAGAAGCTGTGGAAATGATCTCATGATTAGATAAAAGACTAATGTGAACTGTAAGTAATTCTGAATAACACCATTAACCTGGTTGCCTTGTCAACCAGCATCCCCAAGATAATGAAGATGGTGACAAAGAGATGACGGTAATCATGATGGATATGGAGATAAAGGAGCTCAAATTTAAGCAAAAAAAAAAAATCTCCACCACTGTGGGCTGTCTCCTACGCATGAAGAACACAAATACAATTTGCATAATGATACAAAGACAAAACTATGGTACCTATGACATTAGTACTGAATCACTTAGGCCAAAGAACACTGGTTTCACAAGTCTCTGCCGAGAAACTGGGAACTTCTTGATCCCACCCAGCAAACCTCTCTTCTAGAATTCAGGGTCATCAAACTGAGAGTCACAAGCAAAAACATGAAAACCACTTTGTGATTTTTTTTTCTCCTGAGACTTGAATGTCCTTCACTCCTAGTCCCAATGTCAGGGTCTGATTGCCACTCACCAAGACTCCTGCTAAAAATGCTGGGTATGTTTGCGCTTGTGTTATTTTGGTCCTCTGTTTTGGTTGCTTGATTGAATGATTGGGTGGGTGGGGGATGGTGACCACATTACTGACCAAAAGGTCCAAAGAAAGCCTCACATGACTTAGAAAGCCGGAGACCCCTCCAGTGAATCACAAAAGCGCCCAGGTGTCAAACGTGCCCAAGTTTGAGTAAGCTCTCAACAGAAAAGTCCCCACCTCTGTGAATAAATTTCTTAAAGAAAAAGACAAACTACAATTTAACTGAGATGAAAGAAGAAAGAGATTTGTCCCTGGCAACTGCCTTCTGTGAAATAATAGTCCTTTACAGGGGCCACCAGCCTTCTAATCTCTAGACAAGTGAACCCCGTGCCCCCACCACCATCTGTGCTAGTGAACAAAAAGAACTATGGCTTTAGATGATAACCCACAGATGAAATTTTCTTCTGGGATACAGGAAGCATAATTTTTTTTCACTTTGTAAAGGTCAGCGCACTTTGTACAGGAAATATTTGAAGGAAGATATCCACACATGACAAACTTCAAATGGTAATCACAGGGAATTTCTTCATTGGCAAAGACAGAAAAAAAAAGTCATTGAAAATAAGGGTCTCTGTCTAAGGAAGGGAGACAGTGAGATCCCTTCCCCCATAGCAAAACTTTGCATGTGTGCTTTTCACAGTTATAATCACAGATTCATTTCTTCTGATCTGTCTGTGGCGATGACTCATTCTACTTCTGGGAACTGATAAATCGATATTAATTTTAACAGTCCTTGCTATTAAAGACTTTGCTAGATGGGTTGCCTTTAAAAGGGGGAAGAGAACTAAAAACATTGTGAATTAATGAAGGGCATGGTAGTGAACCAAATTCTTCGCAAACTCCACATTTTGGAAATAGCTGTCATATTTACTGCAAGTGACAAAACACATGGTCAGTTTTTAACAGTCAGAAAATCTGGCTACAATACATTAGAAATTGTGTGACTGCAGAAGTCTGCTGGTTACATTGCAGTCTTCACTGCTATTCTTTTTTGTCTTACTTTCCCAAGCCCAATCTCAGAGCAACACTTAACAGTGAGAGTCAATGACTTCTTGGTGCCTCTACCATAGAGGAAATTGTTTGTCAAAGACTGAGCAAAGATAAAGCTTTTAATTACTTTGCTTTGTAGGTAATGGCTTTTTATCAAATGCCAATCATTTTCTGTGTCCTTCAAGGAAAGAAGTGATGATCAGACTACATCAATCATCAATGGAGAAATCATTCTGTTCCAACTGGCCACTCTGACATAGTTTATCAGCTAAGATTCGGAGAAAAGTGAAAAGAAATGCTCTCACAGAGAAACAAACGTGTTTCCTGATTTTAGTCTCCATACTATGTGGTCAGTGTACTGAAAAAAATAACAAATATTGGTTAGAATATATATCTCCAATGCTGTATATTATCTACACACTCCCACCATGGAACTCCCACCGTGGAACACATATGACCTTGTTCTCAGGAGCCTGAAGCTATAAGCTAGACTCACACTCTGAAGTTCAACAAAATCCTGTCTTCATATCTCAGTAGCACCATTATTCAATATTCATACAAAACACATAACTTTATCAGAGAAAGTGTCTAAGGTACCCTTTCCTAACTCTTCCCGTATCCTGCTTCTTCAGTTGAGCCTTAGAGATCTCTCTGCAGCAACACCCAAAATGTAAGAATCAGGCTTGGCTTAACTATCATCAAGTAAGTAAGCCAATGAATCAAAATTATTAAATTAATGAAAATAAAGACTTGTCCCCCCCCCACACACACATGTGTGTGTGCACGTGTATGCACATGCACACACATATGCACACTTTAATGAAGATATCATAGCAGTTTCTTAGACTTCTAGGAAGGTCAAGGACAAGTGTTTTTTGTTTTTTGTTTAAAAAGGACAGAGTTTTATGTAGCTCTGATTTGTTACATAGCCTTGTTCATTCTGATCCTTCTGCCTCCACTAGATTACAGGAATGTGGTACCACACCTGGTTTATGCTGTGCTGGGATCAAACTCAGGTTTCGTGTATGCTAGACAAGCACTCTGACAACTGTGCTACATCCCTCGCCTGGCTGGGACAATAACATTTGACCAGAGAAGTTCCTTATGTATAACTTCTTTGTGGGAGGGGGTGAAGTGAACATGAAGAGAGAAATAAAACGCACACAAAGGCTTTGCACCATTTTGCATGGGTCATTCCTTTTTTGCATGTTGCAACTATCTTCCTTTTCTCTTATCTTCCTTCTCTTAAGCTTCCTTACTGGAAAAGGAATTTCAAAAATGCTCCCTCTACCTTGTTCTACTTCATTAATGACCACTCAGCATCAAATCCTAAGAGTTAGGAGGAAATGAATTGGTGTCTAAGAAGTAAGCATATCTTAAGGTATATAAAACCAATGGTCTGCAGGTGTGAGAATCCCAACCTCTCTTTTAGCTATTCCCTAATAAAGTTTCTAAAGGAAAACATACAAAGCTTTGAGTCTAACCAAAAGAGTTTTCAAAGAAAATCAATGAGTTTGTGACAGATGGTTGTCCACAGAGACCATTCAAAAAGCATTTTGAGTCCTAGTACCAATATTGAATAGCTTTCAAACAGGGTAAGGCTTTACTATTTTATAAATTAAGATGTCATAGCTATTCCTTTAAAAGAAACTTAAGATCTCTTAAACATGAGACTCAGAAACTTTTTTCAAAATAGGCTCTAAAGATTCTTTAGCTCTAAAAGTGTGTGGTCAGACACGACATGACCTAGTACTTCACCAGGTCATGTTTTTCATTCTAGCAGCACTTTTTCTAACTACATACAATTCTCAGTCACTGACACATAAAACAACAAAAGTAGGTGCACATCTACGGGGAACTTTGTGTTTCTGCAAATTTAGAAGCGATACTCCTCAGAGAGAACATTCATGGTACTTAAGAATACCAGCTACCAACAATGCAGTCTGCACTGCCAAAATGTGTAATAAAACTGAAGACATTGGCTTCATGATTAATTTTTCCCAGAGAAATGTCCCTATCTAAGTACATCCATGGGCTCCTTGCATTCCAGTTTCAGACTATGTGGTACCCTGTTCTATTCCAGCAACTAACATATCTATCCATCTCTTTCTGTTAGAGACTATGATTTCTAGAGATAATGTAGCCCTGAATTTATCTGAGGCTATAAAAATAGCAATCTTATCTTGCTAGCTGGAAGAGCGTTATGGTGGAGAGCACAGGCTCTCAAGTCAGACTAAAGTGGCTTGAAATCCGCAGCCAACAGCTGGGACCTGCATCCTCTGAGGAAATTATTAAACAATCTCTTCAATGGATGGCTTCCATCAGATGGTCTTTTCATCTATGACAATAAGCACCTCATAGTTGTGGGAATTGAATGCTGTTCAGAGTGAGAGCCTCCTCGCCATTGCTATTGGAAGTGTGAAGCATTTTAACCTAAATAAACATGTTTCAACCAACAGTAAAATGAAACTTACTAGCATTTGTACCTGTGTCTGCATTTACTACTGGAACCTTCTTGGCACTCACTAAATTCAGGCAGTATTTAAATGAACCCCAGGCTCACTATCCAAACACTAAGTACCTAAGCATTTCCCATTGATCATTTCATTTTATCCCACAGTGGAATAGAGGTGATAGTTACTAAAGGGCCCTATTTTACAGAGATGTGGATAGTTTGAAAACTTGCTCAAACTCAGCTAGGGAGACTTGACTCTGAGTTACGAACCAAAGCAAACTAATCTAAAGCCTTCAGAACTTCCCTACTTATTGAAGTCTCCTAGGATTTAAAAAATAAATTCCGAATATAACATAAAAGTTCTTGGAACATTATCAACTAGTTGTTAAATCAAATGCTATCTCTTTCCAAAAGACTTTTGATAAAGTACTATATACTGTATTGTGAGAATTAGTCAGTTTCTCAATAGTAGTTTGTCATATTAGAACAAAACACTTTAAATGTGTTCAAATTCCACAGGTCACTGCAGTTTTAAAATGAACCAGGCTGATCACAAGGACGCAAATAAAAAACTTACAAAAGAAATGAAGTCAAAATTGTTTACCTGTTACGTGAACTGAGGAGAAGAAGTTGAGAGCCAAGAACAGCAGCATGAGTGACATTGTCCTCATGAGGGTCAGGGCTGCAGCCCCTCCTCCTTGAGCAGGGCAGAGGATGATGTGAACTGAAGTGGTACCTGCCAACACCTTTGAGTCTCTGTCATCCAAGGCCGCTTTACCGGGCACATGATCAAGGGACTCCAACCACAAGGCTTCGTGACTTTCACACAGGATATCACATTGTTTTTGATGACTAGACTTTTACTTCTTTTAGTGACAAGTCTTTTTTTGTCACTGAAGAGTGTCAATCACAGGATAATGTGCTCAGAAGTGTTATCCGCTGATGAGTATCAGTGCTGTGAAAGGTGGGTGCTTAGGGTCCAGCAATGACAAGAGCAGATAAGCAAGGCATTCTAAAGGAGAGAGAGGACCTCACAGAAGAGACGTTCTCACAGGAGTGACAGTTTATCCAAACTACAAGGTTGTTTGGGGAGCTGGGAGATTTCTACCTAAGTGTTCAAATTCCACGTAAATGTTACAGAACCGATGTTTGTGATAGTCATAAGGTACTACTATGGAATGTATGTATGACTCACTTCTATGAATTTTGCAAAATGCACCCAGGCATCTGAGTGTCCACAGAAGTTTCCAAAGCAAAGAGGAAGTCATAAAATGCCACAGTTTCTTAGGGAAGCGGGATGGAAACCTTAAAACCCTTGATGTCATGCTCTCTGTGTCCTTCAAAGAACCATTCTAAAAGAAGACCATGGAAAGATGCTCCACAGAAGTATTCCAGGGCCTCGGTAGCTTCCCTACACCTCACACCAGATCCTGCCTTCTTAGACAGGGCTAGTGCACCAGCACGGCTAACTCCGTATTCCTCTTCATGCCCCTGACCAGCATCCATGTCAATAGCTTTCCTGATAGTCTGGCCTTTTATAAGCACCCTAGTTTGCGTATTTTATTCTCATTAGCTTTTTCAAAACGTTCCTGATAATTAGTTTTTTTGCTTTCCTGATAATCTGACTTTATGTAACCAGCCTCATTTGTGATTTTGTGTGTATTTGTAAGAGTTATTTTTATTCTGTCTATGAAAGTATGAGTTATGTTGCATATAGAAATTTTGGAAAAAAAATATAAACATTAAACCAAGGTTTACCTATATTCTTATCACAATAATAAAAAGTACATAATATTCTGAGCCATTATTTTTCATGTAGTTTTATGTATTAATTTCAACAAATGCATGTTATTACTTGTTAATCTCAAATGCATCTCTATGTGATATGGGTATTTTTATTAATTTTAGCTAGTACATAAAACATTAAACATATTAATGGAGTACCATATGATGTTTTAATACAAGTACACATTTTTAAATGTTGGGTTAAGCATTATCTCTTCAAGTATTTCTTCTTTCTCTGCCTCTCTCTCTCTCTGTCTCTCTCTGTATGTGTGTGAGTGTGTGTGCGTGCGTGCGCACGTGTGTGTGTGTGTGTGCATACAGGTGGTTGTGCTTTTGTGTATGGAGATCAGAGGCTGACGTTAGGTGTCTTCTAAAGTCACCCTCCACCTTGTTTGTTGAGACAGAGTCACTCACTGAACCCAGAATCCACCTGTATCGACTCCCACCACACAGCACTGGTGTGAGTGCAAATGCCCAAAGAATTGAGAAGAGAATGTCAGATCCTTTGGAGCTGGAGTTGTAAATTGTGAGTGCTGGGAATTGAACTCAGGTTCTCTGCCAAAGAAGCAAGTGTTCTTAACCACTGAACCATCTCTCCCACCCCTTAACTTCTCTTAATGTAGTAGTGATCTCTATTGCTGCCCACACAACAGCATTCCATTCTTTTTCATTGCTGGGTCTATATGAACCACATGCTCTTCACCATTCATTAAGAGACATTTAGGTTATTCCCACATCTTGTCTATAGCGAATAGTGGTACAGTGTACTTTGATGTGTCCTTATTTCTTCTACTACTGATTTAGTTTCCTTGGATACACACCTATTAGTAGGATGACAAAATCACATGGTGGTCCCTTTACCCGTACATCCTTACCAACATTTGCCATTCTTCTTTTCAGCAATAGCTATTCTGACTGTACTGAGGAGGTACCTCTCTGTGGCTTTGATTTGTGTGATAATTAATGATGTTGAACATCTTTCTTATGTTTGCTGTCCCTTTATGATGTCTTCTTTTGAGAAATGTCTATCAAAATTAAAAACTCATTCTTAATTGAGCTATTTACATTTTTCTCCATCAATTTTTGGAGTTCTTTATATATTCTAGATACCAATCCTTTATCAGATACATATTTTGCTAATGTTTTCTTGCATTTGATAGATCACTTCTTCGCTTTGTTATTTTTAGTGACTTTTAAGTTTAATATAGTGACATTCACCTGTTTTTGCTTTTGTTTTTATGCTTTTGAAGCCTTCTCCAATGCCCCAATGTCCTGAAGCTTATTCTTTATAAACAACATTTTAATTGATCCATCATTTTAATTCTGTCCCCTGTAGTTCTTTGTTTTATATTTTAGAATGTTAAAGCCAGTGTATGTTCCACAGTTCTCTACAGTTTATAACAAATATATATATTCCTCAGTTCTTTGTGGTTTATAACAAAAAGGTAAATGTTGTTCTCAAGCATATTAAAGACAGTGAAATAACATCTAGTTCATCTTACACATATGGTGATGCTTAAATGACTCAAGCTTACATAGAAATGAAATGGTGCGATTGACAAGGCTTGGTTCCTTTATTGGACAGGGAGATAAGATGAATCTCTGGGTAAAGTGACCTACACAGATTAAAATAAAACAGCAATAAGTGTACTCAATTCTTTTTGTTGTTGTTGTTTTATTTTATTTTGTTTTGTTTTTCAAGACAGGATTTCTCTGTGTAGCTTTGGAGCCTGTCAGACAACTCACCCTATAGACCAGGCTGGCCTGGAACTCACAGAGATTTACCTACCTCTGCCTCCCCAGTCCTGGGATTAAAGGTATGCACCACCACTGTCTGGTGTGTATTCTATTCTTTAAAAAAGATTTGATTTGATTTATTTATGTATGCGAGTATAAGCATGTGTATGCCCCATGTGTGCAGGTACCCTGAGAGGCCAAGAGAGGGTGTCATACTCTCCTGGAACTGGAGTTCCAGGCAGTCATGAGCTTCCTGACCTAGGTGATGACATTAAATTCCCGTCCTTTGAAAGAGAAGCAAGAGCTCTTCATTGCTGAACCATTTCCCCAGCCCTCTGTGCACCAGCTGTGATCAATGGACTGATAGATTTTTGCTTTCTTTCTTTAGAATAAAAAGAGACACAAGCTGACATTTGTTCCTTCCCCTTTCAAAACTATGTATAACACTGAAAAACACTCTATGGCCATATCACCCTGAACTCATGGGCTCTCCTCTTTTTTTTTAAAGCAAGGTATTTTATTTGTCAATTCACATTTGCTCTTGAGATTCAATAGCACTCGTGTAATCCTAAGAAGTAGAACTGACAGAAATGAAATAAGGAATTATAACCCTGTCAATGCACAAAGCTACCCTGCTATATGTCTGCAAATAGCTGAGCACTAGAACAACACCAACATCTATGCACCAATTTACATTCCTGCTGCCATTTGGTAGTCAACAGGAAGATGTAACTAACTACCATGCCCATTTGCAGAAGAGAACACTGATCTCATAAGTCATTCGTCTTGCAGTCAAAGCCAGAGTTACCTCTAGCCACTCAGCATCCCTCTCTCCTCTCTCTGGGACCCTCTGTGGTTACCTGGTAATTTGGGGGAAATTGGATGTTTCCTATACAGGACACACACTCAAGACTTTGCCAATTTGGATATAGAAAGGGAAAGATGGTGAGCTTGAGGATTCTATTAACCAAAAGCACAGAATTTGAAACTGCACAGAATTAGGGGCTATATGCTACAACCTCAGTCTCTCTTATATAAAATAGAGATAAAAATATCTCACTCAATATGTTGCTCATAGTCCACGTAGTATGTGAATTTCCTCCACCCTCAAGATAAAGATAGATTTAGTCTCCATATCATACTGCTTGTACAAGCTGAATAAATGTTAGTTGGATCAATCAGAACAGTTCACTGAGTGTATGTATGATCTGTTTAGATGAATCTACTCTACCACACAGGGTGGATTCCTCCAGAACTCTGCTTTGGAAATTAGCATTGTGTTTCTCCTTGGACACTCATGCAGTTTTATCACAAATAGGTATAAACTACAAAGTAGCTTTGAAAACTTCCAAGAGTTACAGTTGTCAAGTTGCAGAGGCAGGCGGATCTCCATGAGTTCGAGGACAGCCTGGTCTACAGAGTGAGTTCCAGGACACCCACGGCAGTTACTCAGAGTAACCCTTTCTCAAAAAACTAAAAGAAGAAGAAGAGGAGACAGAGGCAGAGGAGGAGGACCTGTAGCTAGCTACTGGCACAGGGAACAAGCCAAGCCAGATCCAGATTCCAGCTGGACACTTTTCCTTTCTAATTCTCCCCACAGCTCCTCCTTGCAGAGCAAATGCTCCTGTGGTGATTGTATGAAAATAAGGAAGTCGGAGACTCTGCTTTATACTATTGCACCAGCTACTGGTATTTTTTTAAAGAACTTATTGGAAATGACAGACAATGGCGAAGTTAAGAACGGTGTGGGCATTATCACAAACCAGCAGAACCAAAGTCTCACAAAGAGAGCCTGCTAAACTCAGAAGAAATGAAAAGCAGGAAAATGCTGCTCCACTGATCGTCTGATCCCATGAGTGAGCTAGCATTGAAAAACCTTTGCGAGAACAACTTATGAGGCTTTTATCAAGAATTACATGAAACAATGTTGGAAAAAAATTCTTATCTAAACTTTGACCACTTAGCGAGGTAGGCTTATCACTCCCATAAAAGCTGTAGCTGAAATGTATTAGAGGCTTCCAGCTCCATCGTGCTAAGCAAGATGCTAAGCAAGATGCATGCTTCATCTGCTTAATCCTCTCTACAACCCCAGGAGGTCGGAACCATCATTATCTCCATTATGTGGTTAAGGAAACAAAAGCTCTGGGTGGTTAAGTAATGTGCCCACAATGCAACTCTAAGCAGCTGTCTTAGTTTATTTCATTCTGCTAAATGTTGACTACA